TGCAGGACTGTGTTCACCCCAGGCCCTTGGCCAGACCAGCTCTCCATCATGCTGCACAGCCCCAGTTCTCTGCTTTGTTTGGAACTCGGGACGAACTCAAGCTGCCCGCCCATCACCCGAGGGGAGTGAGCTGCCTGTGAGGTCTCACTCACCCCAGTGCCCCCCAGCATGTGCTGTGCCAGCCCTGTGCAAGGCACACATCTGTGGAAGTGTAATCGCACGAGGAACGTGTTCAGAAAGGCGCAGGGCACTGGAAAGGGAACTGCTGCTCTCAGACTCCATCCTTGCCGTATGGATGATGGGTATCAAGAGCCCCAGACCCACTGCAAATCAGTCACAAAGTAACTCTGCTCCAGTTCTGGAAACTCCACTCCATGGACTCACAGCCCATCGATAAGCTGTGTAACCATAACTGCCCCAGGCACTTGAGTCTTGTGTCTATCACACATCAGCTAAGCCTACAGTTTGAGGGCTGAAGTCAGGGGAAGATGAATCATACAGAACTGGATGTTTGGTTGTTGGTGGTATTTTGTTTGCTTGTTTGTTAGAAAGAAACTAAGAATAGCACTTACTGCTCAACCCTCCAAGGACAAGTGGGTTGCACGGGGTTTGTGGTAAATCAAAGTTCATGTTGTTTTTACTCTTATGGGTTTTAGTTCAGAGATACAACCGCTTCTGGCATATCATGAGAAAGACAATCTTACCTAAACCTCCTCGAGCAGAGTCTGGTCACATATCCAAATAAAGGCCCTCTTCTAAACCAGATTCTGATTATGAATTGAAGGCATCGAGAGGAAACCACTGTCTCTTAGCACGGTTATTTTTTTCCCAGTGCTTCATCACTCCTGTTAAGTTCTGCCTTGTGATCTGTTCTCTGCACCACAGGTCACCTCCCACAGCTGTCGCGGGGGAACATCATTCGAGGGCACTCATTTTGTAACATTCATTTCATAACCACTGTGGCCAGTTGGCTACGAGAACGTCAGGCAACACTTGTTTCCTATAAAAGAAGGTCTACTTTCAGCTGCAGAAATGCAGCACATACACCCGGGTCTGCTGTCAGCTGCTGAAGGCATCAGAAAGAGCATCTGCACTTTGGAGCCAGGGCTGTAGCTGTGTCCTAGTCCAGGTGGCTCTCAGCTGGGAACAAAAAGCCCTACGTGATATGAGCGCTAAATAAGATATCAGGATGAATCTGACACTGTGACATCAGACAGGACCATCCAGCACCATTTGTTGCCACGTGGCATCACAAAGGATCCTCTCCTGCACTCAGGGATGGAGGTTTTGTTCTGCAGTTTGCTCTCTCTGGCCCTCGGATTACTCACTTTCAACTAAGCCCCTGTGTCAGAATATGATACAAAGAACAAAAGGAATAGCTCAGCTACAGCCTGACCTGCTGCTCACCAGAGATTGAGAAAATGCAATTCGATTACTAGTAGTATTTTGGTATTCCTGGGCTTTCCCAGAGAACCTCTATTGCTTATCAGGAGGATGAAAACACCAAGCACTGACCCAACTCACAGGAGACAGAGCTGCTCTTCTGACACGCAGAAATGCCTGCTAGCAGGTGAGCACCACAGATCCCCCAGCACTCGTGTGTCCCCTCAGAGCCAGAGAGTTGCCCAGCGACTGTGTGTCCCTGCTCCCAAAAACTGCAACAAAGCCCATTTCCTGAAGTTGTCATACAGTGTTTTTAACTCACAGAAATTGTGAGGGTGGTCCTTACAGGAAAGGCAGAACGTTTGACAGAAACAGCTGGGTGAGACCCGATACCCAGCCAGGGAACAGCTCCAGATCAGCCCTGCGGTTACAGAGCAGGGTATGTAGGGAGGATGCATTCTGTAGATCCAAGCTGCATTAACAGAAACAGGCCCCTCTTCTCCTCTCTCAGTGTGCCTGCAGCTGGTCCAGAGGACCCAGGGTGAGACCCCTGCCATGCAGGAACCTTTCAATGCTGGGCAGAGCAAAGGGTGTGCTTAGAGGCTCCTAACAGCAGGATTCTGCTTGCTCCTGCAGTCAGACCATTGCAAGCACAGAGATGCCATCACATCTCCATGTGACAGTTGTCCCATACTTGTGGCATCACGTTTAACCTATGATAAGCTGAGATCAACAAGAAAATATTTGAGGAAAGAGGGAGGTAAGCAGTGCTGGGGAGCTGCTTCTCCTTCCAGGAGTCGTGTAGCTGCAGCATGGCACTTCATGCTAGTGACACAGGCTGGAGATTTTTCACCCACAGCAGCTGTGACACGAGAACTCATCCTGAAGGCTGAGCATTGGCTATACTGTGATCTTCAAAGGCATGGCAGGAATCCAGTCGGCAACGCAAGCAGTGTGAGCACCAGTCAGTATCACAGCACGATGCATACAGGTGTGATGGAAGGGAAAGAAAAGCATCCATTCACACATCGAGGTTGCTGCCGGAAAAGGCAGAGAGCTCCAGGAGCTCCCAGCCGGGCTGCGCTGCGAGCCACAGCAGCGAGCATCCCGTGCTGCTCCTGCCGCTCAGTGGCTGAAGGCGGAGCAGCACTCACTGCCACCGTGTCCCGAAAGAGAAGCTTTTGCAGAACGGGTCGGCAGCAACAGCTGATATAAAGAGGGGTTTAAAAACAGTTGCACCTGTTCTGAATACTTGGAAATGTACGGAATGTATTGTACAGAAAGACGCAAGCCATTGCTGTCACTGCTGCCAGGCCATCTTCAGCTGCTCGCACGGGACAAGGAAGCATTTCTGGAACAGTGGGCAGCCCCACACAGGCTGGCCTTGTTACACAGAGCCCATCAGATCTGCCCTGCAGAAGTGATGGGTGGTGCAGGAAGGGAGCAAAGCTGCCCTCCTAGTGAAAGATAAACCAGAAGACAAAGATGAAAGGTCATGGAAGAAGTCGCCATTGCTGTGCAAAAAACAAAAACAACAACCAAAAACCTTTTATACTCATTAGAATTTAGCTGGAGCCTCCCAGAGGTAACAAGAGAGCCTCTACTGCAGAAAGGCATTTAATTGTTAACCAAGGTTTTGAAACAGAACGGAATTTTAATTTTGCATTCCAGGGGTGTGCCATAAATCCACTGTACGAGGACCTCTACGCCTCTGTGATCAACTGTGAAGCTCTATTGGTTCCTTGATTGGTACCTCTCACAGCACAAAACCACATACACTCCTTGGTACCAGCTGCCCTCAGAGCTTAGGAATTTGGGCAGCTCTGGATCCTGCAGAATAATTTCCCCAGACTGTCATGTATTTGAAAGAAAGTTAATGGAACTGTATTGCTAATGAATACGTAGTCCCATTTAGAGAATGTAAATCAGCTGGCAAGACACTTACCAAGTCAAGTGTGTTATCCTAATGTAATAGTTGACTCAGTACATAGAATCACAGAACGGTCTGGGTTGGAAGGAACCCTTCAGATCATCTTGTTCCACCTCCCCTGCTACAGGCAGGGACACCTCCCTCTAGACCAGGTTGCTCACAGCCCCATCCAGCTTGGCCTTGAATGCTTCCAGGGAGGGACCATCCACAGCCGTTTCGTGCAACCTGTTCCAGTTTCTCACCACCCTCACAGTAAAGAATTTCTTCCTTTATCTAAATAGCCTGTTCCTGCTTCCGCTCTCTATAGTCTTTCTTTTTGAGCTAAATAAGTCCAGGAGCTTCTTGTTGATCCACGGAGGCTTCCTGGCATTCTTGCCTTCCTTTCTCTCAGGATGCACTGCTTCTGGGCTTGGAGCAGATGGCCCTTGAATACCAACCAGCTTTCTTAGGCACCTCTTCCCTCCAGGGATTTCTCTCATATCACCCTGCCAAGCAGTTCCCTGAAGAGTTCAAAGTCTGCTTTCCTGAGTGGCAAGCTTGCTGTGCACCTTCTTTAACATCCTGAGGATTTTGAACAGCACAGCCAAGAATGTCCTTGAGCTTCACATTACTCACCAGTCCCTCCTCATTGGTGAGGACAAGGCTCAGCACAGCTCCTTTTCTCATGGGTTCCCATGCAGCCTGCAAGAGGAAGTTATCATCAACACGTTTCAGGAACCTCTTTGATTTCTGGTGCAGTGCTCTGTTGTCCCTTTGACAGATACGGGGGTGGCTGAAGGCTCCTGTGATGACCATGTTTTGTGAATGTGGAGCAGCTACTATTAGTTTGTAGATGGTCTCTTCTACTTGGTTTTCCTGATCAGGCAGCCTGTAGCAGACCCCCACTACAATGTCTCCTTTCCCTTGCCTTCCCTTTAACTTGAACCCATGCATGCATATGCCTGCAACTCGTCCTTCTTGCTCCCCATGCTCTCTGCACTGTGTACAGGCACTTGAGTTGGACTCCATTGAGGCTGATTTACCAATCAGAATTCCCTTATCCTGAACCTTAATGCTGTCTTACTGGCCCATGATCCTCATTGTCAGCCTCAAAGCGCAATGATTTTAAGATTCCCACCTTCAGCAACTCTAGTTTAAAGCTCACCTGACTGAATTGGAAAACTTGCTGCCAAAGATGGTCTTTCCCATGTCTGACAGATAAACTCCATCCTCCCCAAGAAGATGAGATGCCCCAAAATCAGTTCCGTGACATAAGAAGCCAAAGCCCCATTCACAACATCACTCCCTCAGCCATTTATTGATGTTAGTTCTGTCAGCCCTTTCTCTCCCCATTCCCCTAACCTGGAGAACTGACCAGACAACCCGTGTTCCCTGAGCTTTTCCCTCTTGCTAGTCTTTCTGGTGACAATTTGCCATTTCTCATCGCTGTTCATTTCCCCTCCAACCAGATATTCACTGGTAGAGTTCAGGGCTGTTTAGCCCCAGGCTATGGGTTCAGCGCAGACTACACGTGAATCTGGCTGACCACGGTCTGCACAGACGCCCCTTCCTTTAGAAGCTCCGAACGGAGGCGCCGAACCACCCGGCGCGGCGCCACCCGACAAGTGAGCTGCAGTTCCGGCTTTCGGGCGTTTAAATCTGCCGCCGTTGCCCTGGCAACGCCCACGTCACGTCAGCCGCTCTCGCGAGAGCTGCGCGCTGCTGGAGGGCTGCCCGCAGTGCCGGCGTTTCCCTGGCAAAGGACGCCGCCGATCCCTCGTGCCCGGAGGCGGCCGGGATGCGAGGCGGCTGCTCTCCGCCAATGAGTGTCGGTACCTACGCTGGAGATTTAAATAATCCTTTGGAGCACTGCTGAGAGCACGCGAGGCTTCGGCAAGACGGGAAAGACCGTCAGAGAGGATGAACAAGCTGCAGAGATTGGTAAGAACAATAAACTTTTCTATTATTTTTTTCCCCTATTTTTATAAGGCTATGTAAGTCCTTACAGGCTATTGCAGAATTATTCGTCAGCTCGTCCCAGTCCCTGGTTTAGAGCTGACAGAGGGCTCTCCTGGAGCTGCACATCACACGTGAGTGCAGGCTGGGAAGGAACCCTGCAGGGCAGCTCGGCTGTGAGCTCGGCGCTGCGCCGTGGCTCCGGAAGAGAGGAGCAAACATTTTCCCTTTGCTTATGGCTGTAATAGGTGATAGTCTCTAGAATGAATACAGGGAAATCAGCAGGAGGAATGTTTTGTCGTTAGACACTGTGGTTAAAGATAAAAAGAAGCGTGCTGCTGAAGGCACAGGACATCTCTCTCATCTGGAGAACTGGAGTTGGTGGGAAGAGCAGGGATAGCAGGGCACAGTCCTGGGCTCGCAGCAGTGAGACAGCAAAGCGGTGCCAAGGAAAGTGCAAGTGAGCACAGTGTGTCCTCTGACGGGCAGGAGAGAGCTCAGCCTCTTCTTGCCGCAGGGCTGGAGCAGTCTGCCGTGCTTCTGCCAGGGAGAACGTCTTATCTGAGCCTCCGGAAGTTAATGACATTACGAGGCTTTGAGGAAAGAGAAAAGCTAAGGTTATTTGAATTTGTGATTTAAGAACTACGGGTAGATGAGGCAAACTGTTCCTTTCTTTGGTAAATGGCTCTGTAAGAAGAAGTTGAGCAGGTGAAGCAGACAGGTCTCCCCAGCTTTTAGGATATCTATGTCTTCCCCTGGGTCAGTGGAGTCATATTCATGCAGCAAAACAAAATCTGGCCTGAGGTGACCTGCCCTGGTGGTGAACAGCTGAGCCTGAGCACGGGCTCATCATGTCATCCTGCAGAGCTGTCCTGTGGGGAATGCTGTGCAAGTCTGGCCCTGGGCCGCCTGGAACACTGTGCAGGCAGTGTCAGGATAAGGGCCGGGTGCCCCAACAAGCTCAGAGTGGTCTTGGGACATGAGACAGTGACACCACCAGGGCACTGCTTGCCAGGCACAGCATCTCATGTGCAAGTAGAGAAACCGAAAGCACAGGCACAAAATACATGAGAACAGACAAGGATTGGTAGTGTGGCTGCAGTGAGGATGGAGGTGTGGGTATGGGGAGCTGATGCTGCTGGCACGTGGCTTGCTGCTCTGCAGGAGCTGTGGGTCCATTTGTGGAAAGTCAGACACACAGAAGAGCATCGTGTTCAAGGGTGGCAAGTATGAACTGGAATTTACAAACACAATAGAGGAGGAAAGATCAACAGAAATATGTAGAAAGGGGAATACACATGACTGATTTTTGCTTGTAAGCCTGACAGTAAGCAGCCAGGTGTCAGCTGGGACAGCTTGTTCTAACCCTTCCTGAGGCAAGAGGCTTCTCTTTGATACCAGCACCCTGATCCCATGATGTTGCGTGAAGCAGCCCCATTAAATGGCTATATGAGCAGTGGGCAGTGAAGAAATGACCTCAGGGAGGCACAGAACGTGACACAGAACCCACGAGCTGCCATGTATTTCACCATCATTATACTGAAAATGCAGAAAGTGTTCTGACTGAATACTCAACTGCAGACTGCTGAACACCTGTAGGAACAACATTGTGATGGGAAAGTTCGTCAGAAAGACATTGCCTGCTCTGTACGAAAACTGAGGCAGCACAGGAAAGACAGTCTATTTTAAGCTAAAATGAAAGGACAAGAAAAGAAAATATAATTGCAGTAAAAGGGTAGAAGAAATAGCATGCCAGTGAACAAGAGTGCCTTGCACATAAATAGCCCTGAGAAATTCTCTTATCCTAGAAGGGAGCTGGAAATGATTCAGAAGTTATTAAACTTTGCCAAATGCTTCTTGAATAATTCATCGCATGGGTACAGGTTTTGTACAGAATTGAATTAATTGAAGCAATAACACCAGACCCTGACAGAATTTGCTGTTCTGTAAGCACATGCATTAAATATTAAACAAAAGATACATGCAAGCCTTTGCCTTCAAGCAGTTCCAAATTATGAATGGCAGCGAAGTATTAATATGGAATCTTAATATCATTTTTCACTTTTGGAAGCCATAGATTTTAGAACTCTGTGTTTTGTTTTCTGTCTTTCGTACTTCCCATTATATAACATCATTTGTAGCCTGTGCTAATACTTATCACACAATGGGCCAAATGTCTGCTGAGCCATTTTATTCTGTGCACAAAAGTTATCCTTTTTGCATCCATCTTCTTCAGCTTCAGAGCAAGAACCTGATCCTGACAGTGTGTGCTGCTGGCATTGGAGGCACTTTCCAGTATGGTTACAACATCTCCATCATCAATGCTCCAACTTTTGTAAGTACTGTGGGCCTGAGAGGCTCCACCTGAGACACACACTGCCTCGGTGTCCTCATTCAGGCTGCAAATGGTGGCCTGCCTCCAAAAATAAGCAGTCTGCTAGTACTGAGGGTGGGAATGTGTTGTCACCTCTGTGTAAGTCATAGTCAAGGTACAGAACTTTGCTGTCACGAGCCACCCTTATTCAGGATCCAGAGTCAAGAATTCTTTCAAAAGCCTTGCTTTTAGTTGTTTTAAAATATCTAATCCTAAATTTTTTCAACCTGCATCCTGTGAAGTTGACTTTTGTCCTTAAATTCGAAGTTGGACCCACGATGCATGTTTTTAAACTACCCAAAACAGCTACACAGACACACAAGCCAAGTACAACTTTTCAGCAGCTACAGTTTTAGATCCTTATCCCTCTGTTAAAAACACGTCCATGAACTGGAGGCCATTTTCAGCCCAAGATGTAACAGCATGAACCCAGGACAGGCAGATGGATGCAGAAGCATTCACACGCCTCTCTCTCCCCGCGGTCACACAGCACTGTCCTTCTCTTACAGTACATCCAGACGTTCATGAACAAAACATGGTTGGAACGCACAGGTGCTCCCCTGGAGAGTGGCATGGTCCTGCTGCTCTGGTCCTTCACCGTGTCCGTGTTCCCCCTGGGAGGCCTTGCAGGGGCTGTTGCTGCTGGCCCCATGGCCATTGTGTTGGGAAGGTAAGAGGTGCTGGATTGTACTTGAAGTTGCAGCTTCTTTTAGGCCAAGGGGAAATACGCGAACCTGGCACACGTCTGAGCTCACTGCCATCTCTTTTCTCTCTGAAGGAAGATGTCCCTGCTGGTTAACAACGTCTTTGTGATCGTAGCCGCCGTCTTGTCAGGATTCAGCCAGATGGCGAAATCCTTCGAAATGATTATGCTCAGCAGGTTCCTTACTGGTGTGAATGCAGGTATGAGGTGTGCAGGAACCAGAAACCTAACAGGCCAAAAGTTATCGAAAGGATCAATTAGAAATAGAAGATACTGAAATAGGAATGATCTTAAACATGAAAATAATTTATCCTCTAGTCCGATCAGATCTGAAATTAAAGGTTTGGGTAAATAAGTTTAGGTAGGTCAGACATCACATTTCCTGCAAGACAAGAGCTGACTGCATTTGCCCTCATCTCTTCTGTCTGCAAGCTGAGGCCAGCATTTGTCTGCCTTACCAGGTGTAAGCATGAACATTCAGCCCATGTATCTGGCAGAGAGTGCCCCAAGGAAGCTCCGAGGGGCTGTGGCCTTGACCTCTGCATCCTTTACAGCCCTGGGTCTGGTGCTGGGCCAGGTTGTTGGACTCAGGTAACGTAAAGCTAGAAGCCCGGTTTATGCTTCACCTATTTTTCTTCTCTTTTTTCCTTTTTTTTTTTATTTCCTTTTTATTTTACTCCTCCTCCCTTTCCTTTCTTTTCCACTGCCCACGCACAGCAGATGATTCTGGTCTCTTGTAAGATTTACTGAGCAAGATACTTGTTATTTTTTTTCTCCAGGGAGCTTCTAGGAGGGGAGGAAAGCTGGCCACTCCTTTTAGCCAGCAATGCTGTGCCTGCCCTAATCCAGCTCATGGTTCTGCCGTGCTTTCCTGAAAGTCCCAGATACCTCTTGATTGACCGTGGAGACAGAGAGTCCTGCATCTCTGGTGAGCTTAGGGTGACAGCCAGCCCCTCAATGAGCAATGGGATCTGCTGACTGGGCAAAGGCACATTAAGAAGGTTAACTGCATATCTTCACACACAGTCCAGTGTATTCAGCCCAAAGCAAATTGAAATGTAGATTCCTCCCAACACAAATATTCTGTTTGGTGACCTACCAGTCTCCCCAGATGAAGCCCAGCACTATGGGTTTTGTCTCCAGTCCCACGATGCGCCAGAACATTTGGTGAACAAACCAGAACCATACTTGTTCTGTACAGGATACACGGTGCCACCAGTGTTTGCAGGTGCATTAGTTGTTGTGCCCTTAAGCAGGTGGTGGTTGGTTGCATATTTGTGTGAACCAAAGTAATTCTGAGCACAGATTAATGTAGACTTCTTTGCATCCTGCTTTTTTTGCAAAGACTTGGGCTGCAATCTTGTGAGAATGGTGCCATGGTTTTCTATCTGAGAAGCATTGTATCATTCCAGTTGTCATTACTTCCTCCTTCCAAGCTAAACAGCATTCTACAATCTTAAATATTTATGATCTATTAAGATAATTTAAAGACATCTTCCTAAAAAAAAAGTACATTTTTTGATACAAAGAAAAGGTGAAAAGGTGGAGCTTGTGTTCACGGTGGCGTGTATGTTTTGTAACTATGAAGTGAAATAAATGCTGGCTGAGGAGCTCATGACCAAATGTGCAGCCAGTTCATATTGAGGGATTTGCTTAGATTTGTAGCATACAATCCCCATGCACAGAGAAGCTGGAATTAGTTTCCAGGAAACATGTACCAAGAACGTCTTAATTGCCTGCATTTCCCAGGGAATCCACTTGAGGTATGAGTCAGAAGCATGGCTGCTGGAATGACATGGACTGGAAATATTCTCTTGTCAAACAACAGGGAAGGATTTGCAGTTCCTACCCCCTAATCCTTCAAGGGGCCACCACTTGCCACTTGTGGAGGCAATGCCACTATCACGGGCTGTTCTACAGCTTCCCACAACCATCATCTACTGCTCAGCTGTTTGGCCTGCAGAGATGGGCAAACAAAGGTAAAGCCTGAGTTTCCTCGTCCTTGCAGCACTGAAGAAGCTCAGAGGCAGCAGTGACCTGGGAGAAGAGCTGGAGGAGATGCTAGCTGAACAGGCTGCCGCCAAAGGTCAGAGAGCGAAGAAGCCCTGGGAGCTGTTCCGAAACCCAGCGGTGAGGTGGCAGCTGATCAGCATCGTCGTGCTGAGCAGTGCCATGCAGCTCTGCGGGAACGATTCGGTGAGCTGCTGGTGACTGCAGCAATCAGCAGCAGCACTGTGTGGGCCATGGGTGCAAGCACTTGGGTCTACCACTCTTCCTGTAGAAGAAGGAGCAGTGTTCTGCTCTGCTTTTGCAGATCTGGCTGCAGAAGGCATGAACAAAGTGGTGAAGGAGGAATCTTGTGAGAAGTGGGAGAAGTTGAATTGGAGTATATAAAATGATGGCATAAAAAGTAAACGGTGCCTGCTTAATATACATGAAAAACCTTTTGGCATCCAGCCCTGATTTTCATGGTCCTTCAGGAAAAAGCAAGTGGATGTATTTTCAGACACCTTCCCTTACTGCTCTCTCTTCTCTTCTCTCCACAGATGTACTTTTATGCAGCTTACGTGTTCCAGGAGGCTGGAATTCCTCAGGACACAATCCCGTATGTTGTCATCGGCACAGGGAGCTGTGAACTGATCACATCTGTAACTTGTGTGAGGCTCTTCAAACACTGCTGACACACAGCTGTGCTGACTGAGGAATTTTGAATTTACATTGTCTGATATCCCAAGGAAGCACTTCATAACACAGCGGTCAGGCAAACTCTCAGCATTCGTGTCCAGAGGGGTTAATGCTGTATTTTGTAAGACATTGCATTGTCATCACTGTCTGAAAAATGCTCTTTGAAAGGGTCTGAATGAACACTGTGCTTCTGATCTGTGCACGCTGTCTCTAGAAAATGAAACTTTTCCCTCATGTCTCCACAGCTGCAGTCAGGGTTTAGGTGCACCTGGGATGTTCGTGTCTCCTTCAACCACCATCTTGCTGGCTCCTGCCAGACCCCCTCCCCTGAGCAGCTTTTCTCTTTCAGCTAAGAGTTGCAATGGGACAAAAGGGAGCAGGCAGGAATCTAAACAGATGTCAAACATTTTGCTTTATTTCACTGTGTTACTTTGTGCAGAACATGATCATAGACTACGCTGGCCGGAGGCCACTGCTGCTGGGAGGATACATCCTGATGGCAGGATGGGCCACTGTCTTCATGGTCGCTCTGAGTCAGCAGGTAATGGACTTCATTGGATTATTTAAGGGAAATGCAATTGGCCTTTGCTTTTTTTCATGTGATTGGGGTGTCGAGTGGTGGCAAGTAACAGTAAGTGCTCTGATTGGCTTTTCGTGTTCCCTGTGGCTGCAGACTCAGATTAGCTGGATGCCTTATCTCAGCATGGCCTGCATTTTTGCCTATATCCTGAGCTTTGGAATTGGACCAGGTCAGTTCCCCACGTTTCACTGAAACTTTTGCGTGCCATGGAAGTCTGCAGTTGTGTGCAAGCACATGCCTTTGGAAGTAATTTCTTGTCCTTACAGTGTCGTAGGATCGAACTAATTATGAGCTACTTTCACAGCCAGATCCCCGTGAGAATAATGTGGGTTACGAAACCTCTCCCAGCAGTTCATTCCAACACGAAAGAGACTAAATAATTAGCCAGCCCTTAATATTTAACCCAAGACTTCCCCACTGCAGTTTATCTCTTTTACCACTTGTTCTGGCCTTGTTGACTAGTGAGAATAATTTACTGAATACAATTTACTGTTCTCACAAATTTCACATTGGCTTTGCTTGTGCTCTCTTGGTTTTCATCAGCAGTGTTACCAACAACGTTGTTAACTTTCCTGCTATTTCTTTTTCCAGCTGGTGTAACAGGAGTTCTGCCCACAGAGATATTTGATCAGATGTCCCGACCAGCTGCTTACATGATCTGCGGGTCTCTGCTCTGGTTCAATCTCTTTCTGGTCGGAACAGCGTTTCCATTCATTGTGGTGCGTTCCCAAGGCAATGCAATGGTGATTTCTGATGTAAAGTTGATGTAAAGCTTTGCAGGCATGAATGGCTTTTAGTTCTGCTCTCTACTGAGAATGGTCAGGACTAGAGATGCAATGTAATTCCCCTCAGCCAGACCCTGGCACCATTCCCCATGTTGATTCCTGAAGTGAAAGGGAGCAAAACTCCACCACATGCAATCCCATCTTAATTCCTACTGTGGATCTCCATTCTATACAGTTATGTATAGACAGAAAGCCAGAAAACCACGATTTGAGATACTGTTCTTGCTACATCAAAGCTCCCAAAGTGTGCTGGAGAGCTGCTGTCCTCCTTGCTGGGAAGCACACAAATACCCTCTGGATGAAGTTAGTCCATGCAGGGAAGGGGTTTATAATAGCCTGTTTGCTGTTGTACAGAATATCTCTAACATCATCTTGTTCTTTACCTCCTCCTCAGAAAAATCTAGCACATTTCTGCTACGTCCCATTCCTTGTGGTTTGCATCTGCACTGCTCTCTACATTTGGTTCTTCCTTCCTGAGACCAAAGGAAAGTCCTTCCTGGAAATCTCAGAGGAATTCAGGAAACGGAACTTCAGAGCTCAGAGCTGTGAAGCTTTCTATAAAGGCCCTGAGGAGATCAGGTCCACCACGTTGTAGCAGAAGGAAGGAGAATGGCAGCTGGGGGAAGTTCAGCAGTGCTTATGTTCTCTTTGCAGGGACACAGAGAGGGGAGCAGGGCTGGGGAGAATATAGTGCTCTTAATTCAGCCATTAAGATCATAGTATGACTTACTTCATTTGCTATACTCCTAAGCCACCATTTGGCTGAAACCTTAACATAGAATCATAGAATGGCCTGGGTTGAAAAGGATCACAATGATTGTGTAGTTTCAACCCCCCCTGCTGTGTGCAGGTCGCCGACCAGCAGACCAGGCTGCCCAGAGCCACATCCAGCCTGGCCTTGAATGCCTCCAGGGATGGGGCATCCACAGCTTGTCCTCTGTCAGCTCCTGGGGACGTTCTCAGGACTGCCTTCCTGCCAAAATGCTTGAGAGTTTCTCTTAAAAAGCAGATCATGAGTGATGTGGTGGTTCCACTGAAACACTTTCAAGCCGGTCTATCAGAGAAATGCCTGACAGCAGCATGATATAGCAAGACAAGGAACCTGACTGCTTTGTTCAGGGATGTCAGTAGATGTTACAAAGGTTGTAAGCCACCTTTTTGTCAGCTGAATTTTGCAACATTCAAACTATTTATTGTGTTGCTACACAGACTATTTTCCTGCTGCTTAAAAGCAAGGTTCTCTGAGTTGAAATGTGAAGTGCCTGCTTCCAACCGATGGTGAAACTCAGGCCATGCTGCCAGATACCTAAATATTCATTTAGGATACTGTGTTTTGGTATTCAAATCTAAAATTTGGCCCAAGAGGCTTAGAGCTTAGGATGGACCATGATTTGAAAAGGACAAAAAAAGGGAATGACAAATAGATTCCCTCCTCTCCCAAATTCAAAGACAGTTTTGGATAAATGCATGCACCCTCTGAAGGGTCCATAGTTAGGAGCCAAAGCTTATCAGTGTCACAGATCGTGGTTTGCACAGAACTTTGTGCTGTCACTTTGTGCTGTGTGTTTCTGCTTATGGAGAACAGATTTATAATATACATCAGCTACTAAATGGCAACAAAAGTTTAAAAATCTGCTGTAGGTTTTTAATACTAAGTAACACACATATTAAAGAGTAATAGGTTGATGCCTTATTCTCTTATCAGCAAACACCACCATGTGATGCTCCAGCATCTTTCTTCTGAATTTCTCCTAAATTTCATCTGCACCCCAGAAGCCTTTTTTTTTTTTTTCCTTCTGAATCTGGGCTCTCAGATATAAAAATTAATATGATTAAATTCTGCTTTCAGACAGCAGATGAAATTCTCAGAACCGTGTCTCAGTGCTCCTGTTTCTGTTATTAAGTGATTTCAAATAGACAACTACTTGTTGAGCAATAGCAAGCAGTTAATTATTTTCAGCTATAAAGGCATGTGATGGATGCAAAGCTTCTAGCACTTGCTGCATGGCTTATACAGCTGATTTTTGGTCACCATTTTGCAGACTATTTACTCTGGACTGATTTTCTTCATGGCTTGTTTCTTGCCATCCAATCCTATGTTCTGTCTCTGGTCCTGCCTGGACAGTGCCTGTGCATCTTGCAGGGATTAAGACTCCATTTCACACCTATGCTCTGCTGAGGCTATGGTAGCAGTGAAGAGAACATTGGCAAAATAAGTAAAGCTTCTTTCTTTATATTTTTAAGCAATTTTAATAAAAAAAATCCAGCATTTTTGAATGTCGTGAATGTAAACATAATGTTTCTGAATGTATTACTGTCACGTTGGGCATGGGCAGATGTATTTTTCCAGAGTCTGTGCAAGAACAATCTTTCACTACCTACAGTTTACGGTGTAGAAAAAATAAATGTTTGTTTATCTGCAGTTGGTGCTATTTACAAGTCATTCACGTAAACACATGGCAACAGCAGCTATCTCTGCTCTTGGACAACACTGAGATTTTGAGACAAATAGGATTTTGAGACAAGACAACCTGGAGCAAGACAGCTGGAAGCTAGCAAATGCAGAGGAACTCTTCATTCATACCATGGGAGAGGGCAGTGAGGGCCTGAAGGAAAGAGGACTGATGAATGCACACACTCAAAGCAAAAGTGCTGGTACCATCACAATGATAACCAAAACATTCCATCCTTCAGTGGGGATCAGGGAAAAAATGGGAAATAGAAATGAGGCAGGGAAGAGAAGGTGGGAGAGAAGATGCCCGGGTGGAGGGAGAAGCCTGGCACAAAATTGCCAGGAAGCACAGGTTTGAGGAGAAACCCTCAACGTCCAGAGGTCCCCATCTGGGCCACTTGTATGGCTGCTACCCTGAGTCAGAGCTCCTTGGCTTTCCCCAGGGCCCTGGAAGGACAGATGTCTGCAAGTCAGCCCTGGAAGAAGATGCCTGCCCACAAGTGATAGGCATTCAGACCCAGCCCTGAGACTACGCATCAGAAAACCTCAGCTCCAATTAGTTCTTTTCATAGCCACGGCCTGAAATCAGGTGTCTTTAGACTGATTAAGCAAAGGTAAACAGTGGTTACATTTTAATTGGTCTAGTTGGTTGCATTTTAATTGAAGCATCTAACAAGATAGTTATTTGTTACTGAATTAACATACCTTCATTAACAGAAAGAATATATGCCACTTACTTAGGTTAATTTCCTAATCATGTGAAGCGCTGGGCACGAATGGTTCTTGAGAAGTGGTTCTCAGAGACTCATGGTGGTTTAAAAATCAAATCCCCAGGCACTATAGGAATGACTGATTACCATCACAGCAGAGAAGCACTGTTCCTGCTGCTATGCTGAGTGCTCCTCTGCATAATCTGCCTCTCATGTCCCGCACAGCTTGGTCCCAGCCTGACCAGCCCAGGTTCTTCCAGAAACTGAAGGCGTGCAGAATCCCAGCATGGCACTGCCCAGTGCAGCCACTCAACAGCTGAAATGCTTTCCCCTAAGCTGTCTGAATCTCCTGTAAAAGCCTTCTACCAGAAATGCACTGGAAACTGCCAGAGAAAGAGGCCAATTGAGAATTAGGGCTAAAAGTAAAGATGGAATTGATTTGTGTTACGATCAGGTTTTAAAAGTGACGTTCAGCTTTCCTAGCGCTCAGCGTGTTACAGGAACACAGACTTGAATTTCAGGCAACAACCCGGTAGCCTTAAAGCATTGACTGATCCCATAATTCAAGCATGAATGCACAAGCTTAGTCACGCTTAGTCAAGTTCCTGAGTAAGGCTTCAGACAGCTTTTCTGTGTTGAGGCTCAAGGTAACAGTCAGGACCTCTGCTGTTAATACGATGACTAATTACCCAAGCCGTGTTTTGGGGAGTCCAAGCCAGTCCGCTCTAGTCCATGCCAGACTCTGGACTTTGGCTTCCATTAATGCCTCTTTATTGTCCTTTCCTTGTCTCCTGCAGCTCTGTTGCTGGAGTTTCATTGCCCAGCTGAGCTGGCATGAATGCATAACTGATCAGAATTACTCGCAGTTTCATCAGTAACCAACACATTTCAAAGCAAATAGCAAGAACTTCATGACAAACCAAAGAGAGTGTAAACACTGAAAGAGAACGAAAGGACGTGTTGAAATATTATCTCAGGCTCCTCTTTCTTTATATATAGCCTGACTTTTCCCAAAGTGTCCAAACAAAGCATCAGGAAAGATCTAGCCTGCAAGCTGAGATGACTACCTTTGCATGCAAGTTGGTATACGTTTCCTTTTTTCACCCCCACACAGAACTTTTTCAATACAGATTTTTTTCTTCCTGCTATTCTAAAGGACCCGTTGCACAAATTAAGTACAGAAAGTTAAATCAATCTGAATCAAATGCATTTAAAACAATAGTATGAAATCATGATTGAGAGCTATCAAATATGTTGCAAGGAAATATTTTTACAAAGCAAAGAAAACTGGATTTGAGAGCACTTTTCTATTTAATGCCTGATGTATGACAAAGACAAACTAAGGGAGTTCAGAGCAGGGCGAGAAAACAAGACTGCATGATTTGACAGACGGAGGAGGACCAGGAGATGGAAAATGTCCTCCTCAATAAAGGGGTTAGAAGTAACAAGGTACCTAAGGAACCCAATAAAAGAATAACCAAGTAATGGTGTTATAATACAGAACTGGGATAACAGTCAGAAATTTGCTGCGGATGCAAACTTTGTGCTTAGAATGGGATTTACTGCTTTTTTTGCTCCTGGTGAGTCTCATGCTGATATGTGGCATCTTTTGTAAGCACAGAGCATGGGTCTAGTGGTAGAGACCACAATTCTTACTTCTTCCTAGTGCTTTGATAAGCACAGGAGAAGTAGATAAGACTGTCATCATTTAATATATGAATGTGCCGAATACCAATTCCATTCAGAACTAATTCCTCTGAAGCCAGCTACGATGCAACATGGATAAATTCGATGCTCGTTGAAACCACGGCGTTCATCTGATTAGAAATCGGCCTGTAAATGTTTGCCAGTTATGGCTCAGCGTTGCCTTTGAATACGATTTGTTCCAGAGATAAAAGTACAGCACCATATCATCATTGCTGTTCAGAAAGCACTGGGACACCCAGTAACAGAGAGCAGGGGAGTGGGAGGGATGGGTACACATGTAGCACAGCACCACACTGGGGCTATTCTTAAGCCTATCAGATATATTTCTAAAACAGAGTGAGTAACTATAAAACCAGGAATGCCCTCCAAACTCCAAATGTTTATGTTGTCTCAGCCAAGCTATTGAACAAAATATTCACTTAGGAGAGATAACAAATGGGAAAGGAAGAGGAGGAGGAACAAATAGGAGGGAAGCGTGCGCATGATGCTTGCACGTTGTACCATGCTCCCACAACCAGCAGTTCTATGCAGATTAAGTTGACAAAGCTGAAGACAGAAGCACTGAGGTGTAAAACGTGTTCTGGAAGACAGCTGCAAGCTTCCTTTCTCCTTTCTACAAATGTCTCACTGTCCTGTGCTTTAGCTGCTGTGGTCTTTCACTCCATTACCTTCAAGCGATCCCACAGGCAGAACAGGACATCTGGGGGCATGTCTGAGCAGCTTTCTATGCTGACTTTTCTTCCTGCCAGAAAATGAGCTGCAATCTCTTCCTCCTGGCTTTTGTCCTGGGCATTGGTGGAACTTTCCAGTATGGGTTGCAGATCTCCATTATGAACTCTCCTGCTGAGGTAAGCACAGACAGCTCAGTGATTGAGCTCCCAGCATGGATTTCACTCATGCATTCCTGCCTCTATCTGTAATCACTAAGGTCTTTCCTTACGCACTCGAAACTAGACTTTTTGTGGCTGCCTGATTCTCAGAGCAGCTGCCATTGCTCTTGTATATCCTTGTTTCTAACTTCTGACTGATTTGCCACAGAACTAGGAAAGGGGAGGATGAGGGCTATCCATAGCCAGGCGTTTTTCCATTACTGACTTGGATTGTTCTCAAGAAACTCTCCTGTCCACAAGGTTCCTGGATTCCTTTGTTCCAGGTTCTTGGCTATGCACACCAGTTCTGTGTGAACACCTGAGAGGCAAAACAAGACAGGGAAGAAGTGGAGCTTTGGAGCTCAGGTCAGCGCTGATACCTGCAGCTGAAACAGGAGAGGTGTTTGTCAGCTCAAATAGTGCAGAGGACATTGAACTCATAGTGTCACCACACTGGGAACCCTTATCATGGAAAAGGACACTGACATTATCAACAGTAGATTAGAGAGACCCCAGAATGATACACACTAGGAGACAAATCCTGACCTCACTGAAGGCAATTTAAGTCAAACCTAGACTTTATTCAAAGCAGCAGGCAGGATGCAGAAAGAAGAATAAGAGGCAATGAAGGGGAAAGCTGTATAACAAATTGTGCTCTAGCACGTGAACAGAAGATGGCATTTGCTGTTGATATTTAGTATTGATATTTACTATGATTTATTACACTGTGTTTCTAAAACATGGACTCTGTTTATGTTAGTGGCAAAACTCCTTGTTTTACTGGGGTTTATAGTTCAGCCAGGTTATTGACAGAAATGTATCAGACAAGACAAATAGGTAGGAAAGAGAAATTAAGAAAAAAGGTGCAGTGATCAGAAAACATGCTGATTGAGTCCATTGGTTTCTTTTTTTCTCTTAAAGTACATCAAAAGTTTCATACATGAGACCTGGCTGAAGAGATATGGATCTTCTCCCAGTGAAGAGATAATTACTTTGATGTGGTCCTTCGTTGTGTCCATTTACACCATTGGTGGGCTCCTGGGCTCCATGTCTGTCAGATACATGTCTGTTAAATTTGGAAGGTAGGAATAATGATTGCATTAGTTTGTTTACACCCATACCTGCAAGCACAAGTGATTACGTCTTGCTGAAGACATATGCTTGTAAAGATGTCCTGTGAGCAGCCCAGGGCCACTTCATGTGAAAGATTGTTGAAGAAACAGAGTAACAAAAGCTGCCAAGGATCACAAGGAGAATACCATTACTTGGAAATTCCAATGCCAATCCAGACCAGAGAAATCATCTGGAGAGTACATGCCTTTTAAAAACGAATTTCACAGACAGCATCTCACAAAGCACGCTCTCCGAGGTAGATATTAGTTCCAACAGATTACACGCAAGAAGTGCTTTAGGCATCAAAAACTCCAACTAACGTTTCAGTTCAGGACAACATTTTCCAATTTCCCATTTATTTCACTGCAGCTGATCTCAGTTTTTAACCGGTGTACTGCATCACTTCCATCTGGCCAGGAATGACACTGATTTAAATTAATTCCAGGAAGAAGTCCATGCTGCTTGCCAACATCCCTGCTCTGTTGAGTGCAACTCTCATGGCACTCAGCCGGCTGTCTGGGTCCTTCGAGATGATCATCATTGGGAGATTATTTGCTGGAGTGTGTGCAGGTAAATCTGCATTCCTATATGTGGTATTAAAAGCCTGGGAGAGCAGTGCCTGAGGGTCACACGGTTTTACCTTGTGCCTGATTACTGAGTGCATTTTTTTACTAAATAAGAAAACGCAAACATCATTAAATTAACTGTACATGAGAGGTCAATTTCTCATTCACACCCAATCCACATGAGAAGTAGTGCCCTGTCTGACGGTCATTTGTCGCTGAAGGTTTAGGTCTGAATATCCATATCATGTATGCGGGGGAATGCGCCCCACAGAAGCTGCGTGGGGTGATTGCCATAACTGCTTCCACTGCCATTGCCGTGGGAAAGTTTGCAGGATTTGCTCTGGGCCTCAGGTAAGAGCTATTTCATTTCTTCTGTTATTAAAATTTATGCATACATCGATTCATGTCTACGGATAAGCAAATCGATAACTTTTCGTAGGTGTGCTGAAGTGTGCAGCCAGACCAAATTGTCTCATCACAAATTCTCAACTGCATGAAAAACAGCAATCATATAAATGGTTAAGACTGAAGAATGATGCTGCTTCCTAGCAAGCACGGATCAACATACAGACAGTTTAATCCTTTTGTTTCAGAGAAGTTCTGGGAGTAGAAGCTCTGTGGCCTGTTCTCATGGCAGCAAATGCAATTCCTGCCCTCATTCAGCTGCTCACCCTCCCCTTCTTCCCAGACTCTCCCCGCTACCTGCTCATTGACAAAAAGGACAAGGAGGGTTGCATCAAAGGTAAGGAAACGGGTCACAAAGCGTTCGTGCTCTTAGCAGTCAGAGCCTGGAAGCTATGCCTTCTGGCTCTGTGTAATGAATGGATGCTCTGTCCGTATCTATGAGTATTCCAGATCTTCAGTGACCCTGATGGCAGCTGCTAACGTAAACAGAGAAACAGCCATTATGGCTCTTTTGGGTGTGAAGGGAGAGAACTCTTTGGCTCCATATTTAATCATAGCAAGTGTTTTTCTTGTCTCTGTTTTGGTGCGTGCAGTAGAACTGTACCTTTAGCAGGAGGGAATTTAGGGAAGGGTTGATAAAAATTTAAGCCTCTCCTATATGAAATACTGTAAACACTTGCTGGTCAATGGTGAGGTCGTGATTGAGATTTACAGGTAAAAATAGATAGGAATGAATTGTATTTGGGTATAAGCTGAACCCAGATCTCTAGGGCATTCAGACAAGCAACAAGCCTGATGCGTTTATAAGACACTCTGTAAGGCAGGAAGGAACCCTCTGCATTCATGTGAGCTGGTGAGCATGGGCCCAGAGTCATCTTCTCCTCCTCCTCTCCCTGCAGCTGTGAAGCAGCTCTGGGGGGATGGCGACCACATGGCCGAAGTGGATGACATGATTGCAGAGCAAGAAGCCATCCGTGGGGAGAAATCTAAGAGTGTTTGTGATCTTGTTCGTGACAAATCTGTCCGTTGGCAGTTCATCACTCTCTTTCTTGTCTCCTCATGCATGCAGTTGATCGGAGTCAATGTGGTACGCGTGCTACTTTTCTCTGCTTTGTACACTGTTTACAGTTTCTTGGCAAGAAGTCTTCTGCAATGAGTAAAATGCTAATTGGAACAGTGGCTGTAAGGTGGGAAGTTGTTAGCATTTGTTATAAATCATTCCCATGGAAGTCTGGGAGCTAAGATAAGTTGAGAACTCTGGTTTAGCAAGGGTTACAATGCTAAAATGCAATTTCTTATGTGTTAGGAATACTTACATTCAGAAAAATGTTGACTATCAGAATCACTGCAAAGTTTTAAAGATGATACACGATGTTCATTTAAGCCAATTGCTTAGTAAGTACTGTCAAAACTTGTATGTGCTCTGTGTTCTGCACATGAGACACTAAAACTTGTGAAAGGATGCTGGATGGAATTACAACCTGTAACATGAGACAAAAGCTAGTGCTGAAAGTAAAAAGGTAAGTTTGTCTTTGTTACTGAGTTAGAAGCAGAGCTGCTAGTAAAAGCTCATCTCCACAGATGAGCTTCATAAAAACACTGAGGAGTCGTTGCCAAAATCAAGAATGTCTTCTCTTTACTTAAGCCCTAATTAGTTGTTATCTGCCAAAAAAGGCAGAAGCTGGTGTAATACACGTGATCACATGGGTGCAACCTTCACACATTTCTGTTCTTTCCAGGTTTACTTTTATGCATACAATGTCTTCCTCCAAGTTGGACTCTCCCCTGCCCAAACCCGCTACGTCTCCCTGGGAGTTGGGATCACTGAGATCCTCACCACAGCTCTGTGTGTAAGTGGATCGTCAGCTGAATTTCATTCTGCTGCAGTGCCTGTTTCATTTCAACCTTTAGAAACTACCGCAAATGGAGATCCAGCAACCAGCTCCCTTCAGTGAACCAACAGGAGTACTTTGTGCTGATCACACAGCACCATCTCACTTGCCAGTAGGACAAGTAGGGGGCACTTCCTAGGGCCAGCACCCTGCAGATCCCTGCCTGGCTGCTGAAGGCAGCTGCTGAGCAGCTTCTCCACCCCTGTGAGACCTGTCCTGAGCGCTGACAGCAGGTACTCGTGTTTGCAGGGCTTCCTCGTGGACCGTGCTGGGAGGAAGGCACTGCTATGGAAAACCCACGCTGCTATGGCCTTGGCCTTAGGACTTCTCACTGTCACGCTTGCTCTACAGGTAAGACCTCACTTATGCATCTGAGTCAAGTGTCACGTCTTCGTGTTCTGTTACATGGCAGACATTAATACTATTTTCCTTTCCCCAAAAAACTTCTAAACTGAAGTAGAAGTATTGTTGCAGCCAACCATCATACTAACAGTGGTCTGTTTCCAGCCATGTACGTGCAGATTTAAGTCAATAGCTTTCTACAAGTGTGATCACTGCCAACACTGTCTCCTTGAGAAGTGTGTGGAAGTTGAGAACACAGATGTATGTCATACTATGTAATAATGAAGATTGACCCTGTTTCTAATAGACTTGGATTAATGAAATTTTTATTTCTGATTTTTGTTTCCCATCATAGGATTCTTTCTCCTGGATACCATATTGCTCTGCTGCACTCATTTTTATCTTCATCATGAGCTTTGGACTCGGGCCAGGTTGGTGTTTTATACTGGAATGTTTTCATATACCCTGGCTTCCTCACAGCATCAACTCTTCCTCACAACTCTTAGGAGGGGCACAGCTGTCATACAGCATGAATCCTTGCTCTTCAGCGAGGGGTAGATGTTCCCAGTTCTACAGCACTCCATACTGTGGTAGGAGTTAGAGCTTCCTTTCATACTGCATTCCTACTTGTCTTTCTCCTGAAGAACCAAGCAGCATTTCAAACATGCCTGGGTCAGATGAAACCATCAATTTCTACAGCCATACGAAGTGTGAGTTACAGAAACATCTGGCAAATTTTCTACTTTTTTTCTTTTTTCTCCAACACTTTTTCAGCTGGAGTATTATGCCCCCTACCCACAGAAATATTTATTCAGTCATACAGACCAGCTGCTTATGCTTTTAATGGAGCTACAAACTGGATCCAGCTCTTCTTTCTTGGACTTTTGTTCCCTTTCATCGTGGTAAGCAAAGCAAGGTGTTTTGAAATTTTCTGTTTGGAGGTTAGATTTTTCTTGAACCCAGAGATTACTTCCCTTTTCCAGACCTTTGTGCAACAGACAGCTGGGATTAACCATAGTTTGGATGGCCTTTTGCTTTCTACCCAGAGGTGTAATGGAAGTGTAGTAGAACCACAAAATGCTGCTAACTGTACACAGTAACACTGGAAAACATGGAAGGGGTGGCAGGGACACCAACACAGTCAGAAATCATCTGAATGTCACAAGGGGCTCCTTTCCTTTCCCTCTTTGCCCTGTAGATGCATCTCCTTTATGTTTAATGTGAAAATGGATCCACCCAGCACTAAGAAGCAGCAGGGAAACTGAAGCCTGTGCAGTCTGGGAACTGTGCAAGGAGGGACAGAGCTAACACACATTGGGAAGGAAAAGTGACTGAAATGCAGCTCAGCACCTCTGTGAATTGTCAAGTAGTGAGATTCAACATCTGCTGATCATACAGCTTCTCTCCTTACAGCAGGAACAGAGAATTAGTTCACCTTAACCTCAGTGCTGGTCCAAAAGTGGCAGCAAGCAAGGTTTGCATCAGCTAAGTCCCTGGCCAAGTGTTTCATTTAATACAAAAATAGGAACACCATATCGTAAGAGAAAGACTTTTAGATCGGTTCTATGAACTTATTTTCCCTCTTTCTTTTCCCACAGGAAGGCCTTGGTAGTTTTTGTTTCATCATTTTCCTGGCATACTGTCTGTCCATGGCCATCTTTGTCTACCTGGTAGTGCCAGAGACCAAAGGAAAGAGCATGCTGCAGATCATGGAGGAGTTCAACCGCCTGAATTACGGCAGAAAGAGGGGACAGGCAGCCCTGCAGCAGAATAACTGCTCACTGACAACTGTTACTAGACTTTAGTAACAAACTTTCCACTCCATATTCTGTTCTTTTATTACTGTTGTGCCAGAAGCCTCACTAAACAAAAAAGATCCTATTGCTCCCAGACAGTACAAATGTGAATTAAAAAAGTAGAGACCTGCTGTGCAGGGTGCAGGATGACCTCGGGGGTTCTCTCCAACTGCTGAAATATGAACTGAATTAAATGCTCAAGGAAGGAAGGAAGGAAGGAAGAAGGGAAGGAAGGGGGTGAAGGGGAGGGGAGAGGCAGGGAGGGAGGAAGGCAGGCAGAAAGGAAGGCAGGAGGGAAGGCAGGAAGGCAGGCAGGAAGGAAAGGAAGGAAGGAAGGAAGGAAGGAAGGAAGGAAGGAAGGAAGGAAGGAAGGAAGGAAGGAAGGAAGGAAGGAAGGAAGGAAGGAAGGAAGGAAGGAAGGAAGGAAGGAAGGAAGGAAGGAAGGAAGGAAGGAAGGAAGGAAGGAAGGAAGGAAGGAAGGAAGGAAGGAAGACAGGGAGTAAAGAAAGAATATCTTCACTCTCTGCAAGTTAGCATCTGTATAAACTGAAAACACAGGATCAGCTATTTTTTCTATCAAACCCAGGACTCCCATATTGCTGGACAGAGGCTTTCACATCAAAATTACTTGCTACCATTTACAAGATGGTGCTGCTGAGCTTTCAAGAGAAGAGATTCAATCCAGACAAAGTGTTTTGCTCTTTGAACCAGTGGAAGAAGGGCACCATTCCTTTCAGAGGACATCATTGCTACACAGTGTTTTCCCCTCTTACAATCAGACTTGAGAGCAAGCATGCAGTTCTGGGTCAACTAGGACTTTCTTGAGCTGCTTGTGACCAGGTTTCTGTGAGCTGCAGGTTTCTTTTAATCTTTTTTTTTAATTATTATTTTTTTATTTTAGCTTTTTGGAGGGAAATCATTGCTGCATCTGAATGAGAAAAGTGTAAAGAAGTAAAGGAAACACTATGTTAGAGAAGCATCCAATATAACCTGCCATCTCTACCCAAATGGGTACATTATTTAGATTTCTGAGATTCTTCTACTTGGACTTAGAAGGATTGACCACCACTGAAAGAAAGCATGAGCAAAGAAAGCAGACATGCAGGAAACCCTTAGTAGGCTAATCCACTGTGGGCTGGGTTCTCCTACACCATTACAATGACATTGGAGTATGCCTTCAGCCTGGAGTTGTTTCATGTCAGAGAGAAGGCACACTGAGTTTCAATGGGATTCAGTCCCCACGTCTCTGGTATTGATGAAACAAAGAGTGGTGCCTCTGCTAGAGAGCCCAACCTGTATGTGAGCATCTGCTCATCTCTCTAGGTCTCTAAATACTCCAATTCTCACTACAAAGTATGGGAAAAGGACCTCGCTTTTTCTATTCATTGCTTTACAACGTGAAATGCTTTTGCTTGTTGTGCTTTGCAGTTTGCTGACAAGAAAATAAAAATGCAACAACTTGGCAAACACATCCCACTGATCACGCTGGTGTTTGGCTTTCACCAGTTAAGGAGTCAGGGCCAGAGGAATGCCAGTCTCTGGGATTGTTTTATCAGGGGGAGCTTTTATTCTGGAAATGAAACCTCCACCACTGGCTGTTGCAGATGCTGTACAATGCAATAAAATTTGCAAAAGGATCTAAATGTTGAGAAGCAGTTTCTTTTGCAGGCCTAATCTGCTGTTTGATCATCACACCACCCTCTAGCAATATCTGTAGCAGTGCCAGGAGCTAATACCAAAAGCAGTGGCCTTCACAGCTGTATTAGGTTTACATGACAAGCTTTTGATAGCAGGGGGGCTGCAGGAGTAGCCTCTGTGAGCCCAAAAGCTGCCCCAAGTTAGAAAAGAGCCAGTCAGCTGGCTCCAAAAGAGACCTGCTGCTGGACATAACAGTGACACTGAGCAATGCAGATGATGCCTTAGTGACAGTAGATTTAAGAAGGGTAAAAATGCTGCACAACAGCAGCTTGGAGAGAGGAGTGAGAAAATATGACAGAAACAGACCTGCAGCTATCAAGGTCAGTACAGAAGGAGGGCAGGAGGTGCTCCAGATGCTGAGCAGAAGTTCCCTACAGCCCAGGAGAGGCCCATAGTGGAGCAGGAGGTCTGGGGGAGCTGCTGTCTGTATCTTTGAAGAGAAACTATTAGGTAATGTCTTCACTTGGTCTGGTATTTCTCAGCCTTACTGGTTTGCGACGAGTGTTTTTGTGTTCTAAAAGAGACTGAAAACTCATTTCTCACATGCATCTTTCTACAGTACGATCTTGCTCACCATGCCTGACTTTTCCCCTTCTTCCCCCCTACTATTAAGTACTGTCTGTACAAGGGGAAGCATGGTTAATTATTAATGATGCCTTGAACTAGCTTGTATGGCGAATAAAGGTTAAATGAGTGCTTGTGAATCAGCACTGTATCCATTAGATTTCTAGGATCACAGAAGTATGTCAAGTCTGGAACAAGAACTAATCTTAGGTGAAAAGGCTCATTCCTTCTTCCATAGGAAAATGAGTAGGAGCTGTACTAGACATTGAAGTCTTGCTTTTTCCATATTAAAGCACTGCACAAACGTGAGGGGACAGATGGAAATGACAATTGCATGAGTATTCTGAAAGAAATACAGACAGTGAGAGGAAGAAGGACAAGGCTCTGCTGGGGACAGTTAGCTCAACCAGATGCTGTAATCTGTGCCTGCCAGACCTGGGATACTCTGCTGGGTACAGTCCTGGTATGATGCTAGGAGGTGGATCTGCATCCCTTCCAGCAGGGGATCGGAGAGGCCAGTGGGCAGCTGTGCCATCTGACTGCACTTCTCTGTGGCAGCAAAAATCATCAGCTGAAGGAGGGCTGTGTGAATGTGACTGGAGTTTGAGAGTAAGAATTTGTAAGAAGCACGAGAAAATCTAAATAAAGACAGAGAGCCCGGCAATAATAATGGAAGAGAAGGGTGGATTCTGGGGTTTTACAACCAAGAACATTTGAGGAGCCCATGCTAAGAGGAGAAGGTGAAGGAAAATGCATAACTACAGCTGATGTGAAAGTAATGAAGATCTCATGATGTGGAAAGAAGAATTCAGCTTAAATTCTTCCAGTGAACTGATGTGCTACAAGATGCCCAGGCAAGAAGGTGTGGAGACGGAGTGACTGGGATGTCAGCATAACATAGCAGGCTCAGTGCTGCTGAGCTACCAGACACTGTCAGGGAAAAGGCAAACTTTGGGATGGATGCAACCCTTCCACCGTGCTCCTGAGCAAAACTCCTGTCTCCTTTAAAGCCACAGCCTCCCCTTCCCACCTCCCCTCAAGGCACTACCAATGCATTGCTAAATGTGGAGCTGTATTTAGTGTAGAATATGAGTAGAAGCCTGAAGGAAAAAGCCTTTTGTTCAAAACAATCTTGTCAAAGTGAAAAATTTTCTTAAAATCAACTCCCAAACCAGAACAGGCGCACACCAGGCCTTGTCCACTGTTACAAAGTGGGAATAGAGAGGTTTCTGTGTAGTTCTGGAAAAAGCAAGGCCATCTGGGTGTTAGCAAGGACCAAGGCTCCTCCTCCATGCCAATATTCAAATACTTTATGTCCTGCACTGGGAAGCTGCTCGAATCACTTTCACTGACTGAAAATCTTACAGCATGCAGGAAATCAGGCAGCACGGCCCAGCTGCTGTACTAAGTGGGTTAACTTTGTAGCAGAGTGGAGAGGAGGAAATCCCTGCCTAGAGAACCTGCTGTCCTGAAGGAAAGACGCCAACACCTGATCCTCACCAAGCAGAAACCCACATTCGTTTTAGCAATGCAAGTAAAGGGGAGCACTCCCAATACAAAGATAAACATTTACTGATGTTGTAATCAACGTGGCATATCTGAGTCTTGGAATTATTAAACCAGCAAGAAGAGATCCTGGCCAGTGATGGAGGAGGACATAATTCACTAGAAGCCATGTAGTTAGAATTTAACTTCAGAGCTATGATCCCAACTTGTTATAATCTAAGCATAGGAAACATCACTCATCTGACTGACTTGACAAGGGCTCCCAGAGCAGGCAGGTATTCAAGAGGAGATGGCTGGTTTCCTCTCAGAGCTGGTGAGTATCCAACATCTTGTCTTCTAGCCCAGCCACTGACAGCAGCAGAATCTTTGAAGATTGCAGCATAGGGAATCAAGCAGTCTTTACTGTAACAGAAAAGAACGGAGTACATGCTGGGGACAACACTGACTCAGCAATAATACTGACCCACAGCACGTGCAGAAAATGTTCTGCAAGTGCAAAAGTGAGGTTTAAGAGAGGATGTGGGAAACCAGGAAAGAGGAAAACAGGGAAAATGGTATTATAGAAAAGAAGAAAAAGGAAAAAGCATTCTGCTCTACTGCCACGCACTCTCCAAGACATTTGCAGATATTCATCTGCTTAGAGTATGACCTGATTAAATGTCTGAAAACATACATGCTTGTGAAGAGTGCTCTAAAATTCAGTGTACATCATAGACAACATAGGAGTCATTCAAGTAGGAGCTCTGAAAATGCAGATTCCTATGGGGATAATAGATACTTTTTTTTTAAATAAGAGTTTTAAGAGAGTGAACTTGATCAATCCCAGGAAACAGGTGAACAAAGTGTCTGAGAACCAAAGGAAAAAAGGGAATCATGAAAGCTGCAGTCGTACCAATCCAAAAGCAAACAAAAGCTGCTGATAAAGGCTTTCATGGATTTTTATGATTTATCACTTCTATTATTTTTATGATTAAAATTCTGTGGCTGGCAAAACTGAAGGAATTATAGACTGCTTTCTAGGCTGCTAATATTCCAGGCTGTTAATGTTCAGGAAATGATTTTTTTCTGCTTTTGTTTTTCTTTGGTTGGTTTTGATTTTGTTTTGTGATGACGATGATTAAGGCTTTTTAATCATAGAAATGGAAAGATGTAAGATCTCATGAATTAACTCGTGGTTCTGTAGGCCTTGCTGGGCTCAGGAACTTTGGATGTGTTTTATCATCTTCGGCAGGTTCAATACCGCAAGCTCTTGCTGATGATTTTGGTGCTAGGAATTGGTGGAACCCACTTAGGTGGCTTTCAGATGACTGTGATCAATTATGTTTCTCCGGTAAGAAAACCTTTCATAAAATCATATTTGTAACTGTTTTTTTTTTCTCTTTGTTTGTCTGTTTTGGTTTGTTTTGGCTTGGTTTTGGTTTCTGTAACTGTTTGTTTGTTTGTTTTGTGTTTATACTTTGAAGATGCTCTACATTTCCTCTTACATGTTACTATATGAGTTTATTCCCAGCCCCTTCCCAACCCTTACTGTCCAGTATCAAAGCACAAAGTAGTGTATAAGTGTTAGGAGCTGTACTGCAAAGACAGCTTCCCACTGAGTGTTAGAAAAGCTGAGAAAACTGGAAAACATGCAGTGCACCTACTGTGATCTGTAGTTGAATGGGCGGAACATAGAAAATAAAGTAGCAGGTATTTTCAGTATCAGGTATATTCAGTATCAGTATCATAACACCTTTCCTTCCTTAGCAGACTCTGTTGCTCACAGTGCTAATGACCAAGCAGCTGCTTACAGCCGCCATATGAACAGGCAATAAACTGTATTTTAGTGGATTTGTGGCTTATATAGATACTAATTTGCAAACAAAAGCCCTATATCCTTGATTTTTATAATAACTATTAATATTTTTATTTTTAAGTTGTAAACATAAAGAAGAATCACTGTGATTAGTGTCTCAGAGGAATAAACTTTTTTTTTCTGTCCCAGTACATTCAGAAGTTTATCAATGAAACCTGGCTGGAGCGATACGGTTCACCGCTGCATCAAGAGACTCTCACATTATTTTGGTCCTTCATTGTGTCTACATACTGTGTAGGGGGAATGATAGGGTCTCTGTGTAGTGGGTACCTGGCTGCAAAATATGGAAAGTAAGTATATCTCCCAGCATTTCACTAATGCTGCCACAAGGGAGGCAATTAAACCTCACTCACCTAGCACAGTGATTGCCAGAATTGTCACTGCCCCCTCTCGGTGCAGCGTTAGCTCTGCTCAGCATGTGTATCTAAACCTGGGTACACAAGAGAGATGAGAACATGTGACTGTTTCTGATCCCATTTTCACTGGGTTTTGTGCCGTATAATTCCTATATTTTTGCTGAAATGTTAGTGAGGAATCATTCTCTGCAATGACTTTACTGAGCAATAATGCTTAGGGAGCTTGACAACTCTTTGATTGCAGCTCTTACAAAACATGCAGGTTCATTCATCTGTAAGAACAGTCACAGTTTCATCAAAGGCAAGTAGAAGTCTGTCAAACCACATTCAGAACCATCTTTTCAAGTGTGACCATAAAGAACAAGGCCAAAACTCTCTGGGTGAAAGTGGACAATGAATCTAGGTCTCCATAAGGCTGGCTGTGCCTAGTTCAGGTGACAACTGCAGTGTTCAGGATGGGAGTTCTGACCGGAAGGAAAGAAGTGAAGAAGACCATTCTTTATCAGTCTCTGCCTTGCAGGAATTTCTTTCAGTCTCATAGTGTGTTCACATGATACTAGCATAGAAAAGAGAAGCCTAACTTCTCCCTTTCCACCCTTGTGGGAGAACATCATGCCTTTTCATAATCAGATATCGTTGCCCAATAAGCAATGGAGTTTAAAATGAACATGACTTAGTCTATAAATCAAGAAAAGAACAGGCAGAAATTAGTTAATGATGAAGAAGAAAATGTGGATCATACTAACATGTTTTTGCTGTTGTAGGAAGAAATGTCTGCTAATCATTGATGTGGTCCTAATAATAGCCACATTGAACACAGGCTTCAGTAGGAGAGCCAAATCCTTTGAGATGATCCTGATTGGACGCTTCCTCGAAGGCATCTGTTCTGGTAGGACTCCCCACTATTCCATGTTAATGTGAATTCTTAGGGGTGGATACAGAAATCTTCCTGCTAGGAGTACCCAGGCATGCACAGTAACCCCAGTGGAACAAGGAACAGATTGGGAAAAGGTAAGAAGATCACATCTCATGTTGAGGCAGCAGACTGCTCAAGCCTATTGCAAAGTGCAGTGCGTTCAGAGGGCAGGGACATTATGATGATGAGCTCTCCTTTGCTTTCAAGAGCTCTTACTGAGGAAGATATCAGATGGGCTAGCTAAGTAGGATGTACGTTTTCCCAGTACTTACTGTGGAGCAGGTGAAATGAAAAGGGACTCTCATTTTCTGTAACTTCAGTTCTCCCTTGTCTTCTTTTTAGGAATATATATGAATGCCCATGTTCAGTATGCAGGAGAGATCTCACCTAAGAAGATGCGTGGCTTTGTAAATGTGACCTCCTCGATGTTTCTTGCACTAGGAAAAGCTGTAGCAAGAGTTCTTGGATTACGGTACTTGTGCTGCTCCTTCTGGTCCTATTTTCTATTTGTCTTCTGTGTGTCAGGAAAGTCCAGTCCTACAAACAGACACAGAAGGGGGGGTTGTACTTTGCTTAACTATTGCTGCCAAAAAGGAAACAGCTGCCCCATGCCAGTCACTGAGGTTCCCTTGTCAGTCACTGAGGAGAGGAAGACACTTCTCTTGAGGAAAGATTAAATCCATCTTTGAAGGTGCAGTGTTAAGAACAATTTATATATATTGAATATATATATATATATACACATTCAAGCTTAATAGGCCCCTGAGACCTGAGATTTTCTCTGCTGATTTCATGATATCCTCAAGCAGAATTACTGTATTTGTTCAGAGATCTGTTGTGAGAATATTCAAACTCCACTGATGTTTAGGAAAGAAACCTCAAATTACAAGAAAAATCTCAGCCTTGCAGTAGAACTGAGATATCAGGCTTTTTTTCTTTCCCTAGTCTAGGTATGTTTTATTTCAATTTATTCTTTACAGTTATATGTATATATAGTTTGCTAGTCTAGGATCCAGAAAATAACAAATTGGTTGCAAAAAGTAATTCTACTGGACTATAAATCTACTCTTGTATGCCTTCGCAGAGATCTTTTAGGAACTGAAGACACATGGAATGTGCTACTGTCCTTTTCTGGGCTTGTGGCATTGATCCAACTGCTCTTTTTGCCCTTCTTTCCCGAGTCTCCTCCATATCTCTTTCTGCAAAAAGGAGACAAGGATGGTTGCTTGAAAGGTAAGGTAAAATTTTAGAGTCTCAGCAGGTTCCAGTAAGTGACGTTCTAGTTCTTTTCTCAGTGACAGATGAATCAAGGCACGGACTCAACTGTAAGTGATCAGTACATCAGATAATGGGAGCATATGCTTCATTCTGTCCCTTCTGTAGCCATGAAGCAGCTCTGGGGAGAAGAGAATTATCACACAGAACTTGATGACATGATGAAGGAAAAGGCTGTAACAAAAGGCACCAAAATAATGAATGTTCTAGAGATGCTGAAAGAACCATCTGTGCATCCACAGCTGTATACCATGCTCCTGCTTCTACTGAGTCTACAGCTCTGTGGCCTGAGTGCAGTTGAGTATAGCCTATATCCAACCAAATCACTGTGATTCCAACTTGTCACTTTCCTCTGGATCTGTGTAACACGCAGAGCCTGCCTCTGTCTGTGAAGCTCTGTTGATCACCACCAGCATTCTGGACTCTGCTCATTGCATTGCCTGGCAATGTGGGCAGAGAAGTTATTTCTGTCCACTGTCAATAGGGCAAAGGTGCTCAGACCAGCAGGAGCTTTGCAGCTGAGCACCTTCTGAATAACTGCAAAAAGGCCACAGAATAAACTATTACATCACCTCCAATGAGCCCCAGTATTATACTATTGCTATTGCAGTGATGACAAATTTAGGTCTAAGTGATGCAGGATGAGAACGTACCACATCCATTGACTGTGCTTCGTTTTTAAAACGGTTCTTATTTCCCAGATCACTTTCTACACATCGGAAATTTTTCAGACAGCCAACCTCCATGAAAGCATAATCCCATACGTAGCTCTAGGAGTTGCAGCCTGTGAGCTCATCTCCGTCATCTTTTGTGTAAGTCAGATCATGCTGGGACTTTAAGACTGAGTTGGGTCTATTCTTCCTCATGTGATTTAAGTCTATACTTCCTTACTTCCTTATCTTCACTAGGTGAGTTTAAGATTTTTCCCGTGGCAGCACATAAATCTGTAAAGTGGTTCTTACTGTCCCTGCTAAATTTCTTCCCATCTTTTACGTATTCCTGCCTATCTTCAGTCTTCATAACTTCTTATAAAATCCTTCTCTTATCTATACAAATATAAATAAAATGTCATTCAAAGACAAATATGCATGCCTACTTCCTTTCACTGACATATCTAATTATTTATTTGAATGGAATCATAACATGCATCCACTGATTACAGTGTTCATGAAAAAGTTGCTGCAATGTTTGGGCAGCAAGAGTAATTCATGGCATTAGGGAGACCAGTAGGAACTCCATGAAATAACTAACTTGCTACTAACATGATTTGTGTTTTCTTGAGTAAAGAGAACTGAAAAGGAATGTCTAAGCTATTAGAAGGCTCATAGCCACTTCACTTGCCCACGCCCCCAGTGATATATGGGTTTTTTTTGCTTCTCAGAGCTCCATAATCGATCGCTTTGGACGCCGGATACTCCTGTGGGGTGGTTATTTGTTGATGGCACTGGTACTGGCGCTGCTTGAAACAAGCCTTCTACTGAGTGTAAGCAAATGTCTCACTAGGGGTGGACCTGCATCAGAAACATAGTCAGCCTTAGTTCTGACATCCAAAAGAGCAGGTCAGAATATCTTCTGAACACAAACTTACAGCCCAGTGGCACAGTTTTGATATTGCCAGGGTTTAGCACTGCATTTCAATCTTTGTCTCAGTCCACAAACTATTCACTCCTCTCTTTTTCACACATATCTTCTGATTCACAAGTTTTAAACATTTCTCTGAAATTGTCTAACTTCTTGACCATTAGATTGAATCAGTTTTCCCTATGCTGTAACTTGCTTGGAATTCATTCCTTATTTTTCCCGAGCAGGGTGCACAGTCTAACCCACTTCTTTAGGTATGACACTGCAGGATACTTTTGACTGTCTGCTGCTTTCAGTACACAAATATCAGTAGTTCTAGTGAGAATCTGTTCCTCAGCATTGTGGGCTTTTTCATCAACATCTCTTCTCCAGTGTGTTTGGATCAGCTGTGATCTGAAATCGTCATTGTCATCCCTCCTTCTGCCTTTGTTTAGGATCGATTCCTCTGGACGCGTTACTGCAATGTTACTCTGATCTTTTTATTCATCATTGCCTATGGAATAGGACCAAGTGAGTATAACAATATAAGCAGCAACAGCAAAACTTAGACCACAGGGGTACACACAGGCCATGGGATATAGCAAATCAGCAGCAGTCCATTTTGCCCTAAAGCAGAGGTAGCCTCTTCCAAAATATCAGTTTTCTCAATTCACCTGTAAAATTCAACTCCATTAAAGGATGATATATGGTAGCATGCAGTGTCTCTTAGCATTACTCTGTCCTTTCTCATTCTCTCTTTGTTTTTTTTTCTGAGTCACTGCCATCAATAATAGCAGAACCAAATTTACAAGCTCTCTACTATGATTACACTCACTTGAAAGTAAACTTTACTCTGTGGTTGACATGACTAATGACGACATTGAGTTATGGAATCTTCAAAATCAAGTGTCAGCCTTTATCATTGTAAGGGCAATATATGAGGATTACAAATGTCTTTAAAACCTAACAAATTGCCATGGTAGCAGAACCAGTTAGCACCTACAGACAGTGGAGAGAAATAGGCCATTGGAGTCATTCACCTCCATGTTTCAGACATCCTAGGCGGAGAGAAATTGCGTTTCAGGGGTGTCCATCTCTCTCCATGGACTGTAAGAGAAGTTGGTAGGTGAATTCTGATAGAGGTGGTTGTGCTGCCTAGATTTATGTGATCTCAGTAGTCTGACTTTACTGGGGCGGTGTTTGATGAGTGACAACAATTTATTCACTTTGAGGAGAGCAGTTAACCCATTCTCCACAAAACACACAGCAGTGTTTCTTATTGCTTTTTACGTTGTTTTTTTTTCCCCAGGTGGAGCTGTTTCATCTGTCATGAATGAAATCTTCACCCTCTCAGCACGGCCCTCCGCATTTGTAATCGCTGGAATCATCATTTGGCTAGGCCTCGCTTTCACTGGGATGCTTTTCCCCTTTGCTGTTGTATGTAATGGGATTCCAATTTTCTCTTTGACTCTTTCAATTTCAACTGTTTTTCTAAGCAGGTCTGGCGAGGGAGTAAGATTAAATTCTTGTAGATGACCAAAGCTGTGAATTTTAATTACCACTGGCATGTGGAGACCATTCATATAGAGTTCATCTGGAGTTCTGATAGCCTCTGCTGCCTTCAGAATAGACTGAAAACATATAATTAATGTATTCCTCATTTCTTAGGGACAAGCCAACAATTTGCAAGAATCCATAGGAGCCAGTGTTGCCAGGGAAGTCGCTCATCTTACTCTATTTTTATCTCCAGATGGCTCTTGGACCCTTCTGCTTCCTCATCTTCATTGTTGTCCTGGTAGTTTCGTCAGTTCTCATCTACATGTTCGTCCCAGAAACAAAAGGGAAATCAACCTTTGAAATTACAGAAGAATTCAAAACACTCAGATATAAGAAGAAAAGGCATCAGACTGTGGAGAATAACGTGACTGAAGAAAAGATACACTGCACCAAGCTCTGACCAGCCACAATAAGCAACTTCCACTGACAAAAAGCTCTGTCTCAAAATCAAACTGAGAGTTAAACCTTATCATAGACTTATCTCAATAAACCATAATAAAAAAAACAACCCACAGATAGCTTGTCATTAATCCAAGTAGTCCTATTTTTATTTATCTTTGCTTCTCGGTGCCTCCCTCCTCTAACAGTTCTGTGGCAGGAAGACATTCATAGCCACAGATGTTCCCAGGGCTGACATGTGGACAGCAGGATGCAGTCAGAAGGATGCGGGCAGTGTTGAGAGCTGGGAGATGAGGGACTGGGAGCAAGGTGGGGAGTGAGGCACTTGGAAGAGTAGTGAGAGAGCTTGGAAACTTGGAACTTGGAAAATTCAGCCCACTTCATAAATAAGTAACTGCTCAAGACAAGAAGCGGAAGCTGCGATAGTAAATATCTGCTTGATCTGTGCAGGATTAGGACACATTACACTCAACATCACATCAGCACATCTGCGTGCAGTTCTGCACTTTGCCACTGCTGCTCTCCAGGAGCTGTTAATCCTGCTGACTGCTGCTGCATTTAACCACTTCTGTCCCCAAACTCTTCTACCTTTATATAAAACTACAAATTATTTTTCCATTTTCTATCACTGGTACAAATGGTACACCATGCCTCCTGCTCTGGAGGACCGTAAGTCCTGCCTCTCTGCAGCTTTACCATTCACATTGTGCTGGAACTCTGAATCAGTGTTGAGCTTAAGGTGTTTTCTACTTAAAAATTTCAAATAATCTACTTCCTCCTTCTGAAGGAATAGCCAGAGAAGAAACTCTGATAATAAAGCATGTTCCAGCAACTGAAACCTAATTTAGATTTCATATTCCACCTGTTTTCACTCCCTGTATCAAAATAGGAAGTATTCATGCTACAAAATCTTTTATTTAGAGGGACCTCTCCTGTCAGTACATCGAAATATTTGATCTCTCTGTTTTAAGTCCTGTGTAATTGCTGTAAAAAAAATCAGTCATATGAAATAAGAAATAATACGAAGTTAACATTGATCTCAGCCTCAGGCAGGTGACTGCTTAAGCAGAAGGTGCAGGAAAGAAATGACAGAAAAATTCCTCAGTCTGAGGAATTCTCATTCCTCTGTTTCCCCTTTCCAGAGGATGGAAAAGCTCCTCTCAGAAGTGCTGAGTACAACAGCTGGCAGAATTGGCTGTCAATATTAAGCTGTCAGAAGCTCCCCAGGAAAAGAATAGAGAAGTTGCAGTTCCCATTCTTAAAGAAACCAAATAACCTTCCCAAAGCCCCAGAAAAGCTGATGTTCACTCGGGGTTAGACTCCATGGTCTTCCTGACTGTAATTGCAGCCTGGGGCTTCGTTAACACTCCATGCATTAGCTCACTCAGCTGACTCCTCTCAAAACCTTGGTTCTAGCATGCTTACCTTTGGAGAACCCACAGGTCCTGTCAGCTTTCAGAGGTGCCCTGGCATACAGGAGGAGTACTTTGCTGTTTCACACATAGCTTGTGGTGGCAATCACTTATTTTAGGAGATGCTGTTGTGCCTACTTTCCCTCTTACACAGACATCTCTCCTCACTCTTATCTGGCCTTTATCGTCCCTTTTGCATTCATTCAATGAATTCATATCTGTTGCAGATATTTTTGCACCATCACACTTCTCACGTCTTTTCTGTACCTGGGTTGCATCTTTTCAGCAGTAGTTTTGCTTTTCCTTGATATGATCTTCCCATATCACAGTATTTACATCCCCCAAACTGCTGCTACTCCACCACAGTTAACTTTCCCCTGCATGTAGCCCCAGATGATGTTAAGGGAATAAAATGTAAAATTAGATGCCTCATGTTTTTAATTAATATACCACTGCAGTTCTCTTAATATCATAGCTTCTGGTCTCTGGTCCACGTGTAACTGACCTGTTCCCTACAGCTAAGCATTCTGTATACTTGAATAGAACATTACCTTCTGGTTGGCATCCATTTCAAATATGCTTCCATACAGAAGAAGTTGCTAAAGACTGCTGGACTGGATGCCACAATAATGTGTGAAGTTTTAATTTTATTTCGAGTAAAGAGTTTCAGGAAATCTATTTGCAAGTGCAATATAAAGAAGTAAATAAATAGTGCTGATTACACTGCCCCTATGCCTCCATGCTTCCAAAACACAAAGTGCTGCTTTCCAGGATGAAGTATTTCTTTTATCTTCGTGTCATGATGACCTTTTTGTCCCTCTGTGGCAGTGCTTCTATACAACTTGCAGCTTTCCTAATGATGTTGTAAAGGGGAATTTCTAATGCCTACGTTGTATGTTTGAAAATAAGCACAGCTTGAGACCAAAGGTGAATGCAAATATATTATGTTCTTCCATGCTGTTCTATTCACGTTTTACACAGATTTCACAATGAGAAGCAATTGCAAATGGAAATACTTCTGAAATGCACTGCACAGATGTGCCATACAGTAGCTATATAGATAGGCAAATGGAAAAATACAAGTTAGGATCAGTGTTCACCATTGGCAGTGCACCAGATCATTAGTGTATTCTGCCATGAAAACTTTCACTTTCATTTGCCAATTCCTTCTCTCTGATTTTACTCTCCTCCTTCTCCTATCTTCTTTTCAGGACTCCCAAACCCTCATGCAGAAAATGTGACTTCAGCACACAGAGAGGAAAGAATCTCGATCAGTGTCACTGTGACTTTGCTGGTCCTTTTGCAGGAACAGGTGTCAGCAGAAGCACAGCAGGAACACTGCAGAAGGACTGACTGCTCGTCCGTGCTGCACAGCTCAGCTCCATGTTCAGATGGAGCCTTGAGTCCCTCTGTCCCTCTCTTATGAGCTCCAGATAGGCTCGCTCTGATTTAGCCCCACTGCCTCCTGCAAAAAAGCAGTCTTTTTGGGGCAGTCTTGCTGGCTACCATCACTACTTCTTACCTGAAGGAATCTTTCAATTCCAAGCATTCATTCTCCCAGGTTCTACAAAACCAACATGCTAAATCCAAGAGCTGCTCTCTCAAATGCTTGCTATTGCTGTACGTCTCACAGTTACTGAGAAACCAGATTGTATATGATTAACTTGCCAATATTAATGTTTGCATGTTGTTTTAACCCATGCCAAGGCCTCTCTCTTTCTCAGACTTCTGCAAGAAATAAGTTATTTTTAACTACTCACTCTGCCTATCTTTTACTGAAAAGTAGTAGTAGCACACAGTACTTGACTGTCACAGGGAGAGTGACAGGGCTCTACATAGATTATGAAGGGACCAATGAGTGTACTTCCATTCAATAAGTCTGAGGACTTCAATTCATTTACACAAGTATGAAGAAACCAGGAAATTTAACACTAGCATTGAGTGTTCAGTGCCACAGTAATGTCCCACAAATGTGATAGAATCATAATAAACCATGAAATAAAGGAGAAACTAGGAAGTTCAAAACAGAACCAGCCAGCATGCTCTGTCCATCTTCATGACTGTCTCCTTTTCATATGGGCCACCAAATCCATCCTTGGGGGAATCTTCAATCAGACACCTAGATCATCAGCTGCTGGGACTGAAAGATGTTTCTGGACAGGATTCCTTGATTTTGGAATGCCTTTCCCATTTATAATGTAAGTGACTAACCACTAATGTTAGTGACTAGTCACTGATGTTTTGAACATGATTCCACACGCCAGATCACGATATAATTATTTGTTTACACTCTTTCATCAGTATTGCAGCAGTTAGATTTCTAATTAATGAAATCATGATCAATGATTCAAGGAGAATCAAGTAGAATCAAATGAAAATATCCTTATTTATCTTTCTCTGGTTTATTTCCAGAAAAACCTCCACTCTTCCTGCTTCCTTATTTTTACTGAGATCTTCATCTACCTCCTCCTTTCAGAGACGAAGGGTGCAATTATGAAATTAACGAAGAATTTGCCATTTTACATTTTAGGATGAGACTTCATTCCATTACAGGAAGTACTTGTGAGGAACGTACCACCTACATTAGCTTCGAGCTGGTCGGAAGAAGGGCTATGTTTTTAGTATGGTCAGTAAGGACTTTAATGTTCGTAGAGTGCAAGATGAAACAAAGGCAAAATATTTGTTTGCTATTATTGGAAAAGATTTGAATACTTCTTCATAGACACAAGTGGAATCTTCGTCAATGGAAGACATTCTCATCACCATAAAAACCTGACAGAAGTTAGTAACTGATAAGTGATCATGACATAAAATATGAGCTACGCTAAATTTATAGATTTCACTTAGGATCCTAAAAGTTTTCTTTAGTTCCAGTCTCCATGATTTTGTTTTTCAGAATTTCATTTTGAGTTTTTAATGATAGCAGACCTAAAGTGTCAAACCCAACCTAGGATAAACCGCTGGGCTCCTCTCAGAGGAGACTGGAAGGACAATGGATTGTAAATAGGATTTCTTCTTTGTGGAATTTGAAAAAAAGTCAGGCCTGATTATTTAGGTGAAAGTAGAAATGAGTCAGTCAGCTTTGCATTCCTGATACAACAGAGCAGTTTTGTTGAGTCACAAGGCATACGATTATCACAGCCACAGTTACTCATTTGGTATTCTGACTTGTAACCTGCTTCCTACCACCGTGAGCAGCTCTCCAGGAGTTGGACAACAGTGGTTGTAACCACTGAGCCAGCACACACAGAGAGAGCAGGAGGAGGGAGCTGGCAGAATGTTGTGGTCATTTGTAGGGTTTGTAAGGTTTGCTAGTTTCCAGCTGCTATTAATTCCTTTAGGAGAACTGCAGTACTGAACAGTTATAAAGCAGCACAAATACAAAGGACACAGCAGAGTGCAATAAAGGTGTTTCATGCACAGGGCACAAGGAGAAGCCAAGAGCCTGTCCTCATTTCACTTATTCTTTAGAAAGGAACAGTAAAAGTCTCCTGATCACATTAAATTTGCGGATAAAATGGAACAGTACTATTCCATAAAATCAAGTGTAGCTCAAAAACTCCAGAAAGACCCAAAAATGTCAGAGAAATGTTACTGCGATTTAGTAATTCACAGTAATTCCTGCTACTTGAGAAATTGCTGCTACTTGAGATCCTCAGCAATTATTTGGGAAGGAGAATAGGAATCACATAGAAAACCCTACGCTTTGATATGAATTGAGAAAATGTACGTATGCAATAAGTAGAAAACATTACAATTTTAAAACAATTTCAAAAATGAATTAATAGCTATGCTGCTTCTGTTTTTGTACAGTCCAAATGCTGCTGTTGTTGGCGTTCAAGAGAAAACACAAAAATGCTAAATCATTCTAAATGCTACTGCAAGCCAGGAAAAACAGCTTTGCTACGCGTTGTATAGGAACACTTGCAATTACACAAGTAACTAAGGTTTTATTATTAACATCTTTCTCTTGTCTTTAGACTCACTGCATTTGCAGTAAAATCCTCTGTCAATAATTGCATTCTGTGTTTTATGAGCTAGAAGGCCTGAGCTTAGGAATTTACTGATGGCTCCAGCATAACCCCACCGTCACATCCGCACCCAGCCCAAACCTTGGCAGTGGAGGAATGTCCCCTGGCATGACTTAGAGAAAGCAGAAGACACTGAAAGCAGGAACAGCACAGGACATCAGACATACAACAGCCCCAGGCAAACCTCTTTTTTCCAAACGTGGTCTGTAGAAGAAGCCAAGTGAAGCCACATTTCAGGTTTCACATCACCAGTGTGGAGCCTCTGGGAACCAAAGATGACTTTCCAATGGATCAACAGATGCAGCACTGGATTTGGGTCTGTTCTGTTTCTGTTATGGTCAGAGCTGAAGCCTGAGGGATGAGGAACCCAGCTGTGCCACCCTACCTCATTAAGGAGTATTTGCTCACTTTGATTACTCTCACAAGGAAGTGGATTTTAGTTACTGGTTGGTTTGGCATGGAGACTTCAGGTAGGGACACTCCATTCCAAAAGCCTCTGCCAGGGCACAACATCTCCTGGTGCCTTCTCACCATCCCTGGCCAAGTCTCACAACCACAAGACAAGAAATATTCTTCCTTGGGACAGTCTAAATGGTACATAAGTCAGAACAGCTAAATCAAGATTTGAAATGTGCTACTTCTATCTCAAGCCCAATGAAGAGCTGTGTGTTTGAGAATTTGCCCATTTTTTTCATCTAATAAAAGCTGTTTACTATGCCGGTGAATCTGAAACCGAATACAAAATCTTTACTGCTTCATAAACACAAATACCTAAATATTTTGTTAGTTGTTTTTCCCACTGAGCAGATTATAGTGGATGTTGCTCAGCTCTTATCAATGAAATAAAATATTTTACTGGTCTTGGAAAACTACTTGGATGTTTTTTTTCCTGAGCTCTCCTTTCTCTTTCCAAAGGCCAGCTACAAACTTCCTCTGTTTTGAAACCTTCCCCCTGCAGGCTGGACTAGATGCAATTATTTCCTGAAATATTTAATCCAGCATTGTTAACTTTGTCCAGCTGAAGTAAATATAAGTGAGCAAAGACGAAATAGTAAAAATTTAACCCTGCTCCCTGCAGCCAAATGCCTACTGCCATAGCAGCAGGAATGAGACAGACACAGAAGCCAAGTGATAACACAGACACTCAGTGCACTGGACAACCAGCTCCTGAGCTAGAGATGACCGGCTTCCTGGCAGACCTGGTGAGTACATGGCGAGGCACTGACATCTGGGATATTTTTGTATGCTATCAGTGCATGAAAGAAAACAAAATCACTCTCTCTCTCAGAACAACAAGGCTCCTATTTGCAAAAAGTACTTTGGAAGTGATTCTACACACTTTTTCAGGGTATTGCAGATATTTGCACTTCGCTCTGTCTTCCATCTTTGTCAGAGCCTGCCTGCAAAATCCTTGAACAAGTGAGATGCTTCTGGTGAATGAGAGGCACAATTAAGGAGCAGTCTGATGCAGCTATGAGCTTAAGATCTTCTACTTCTGCAGGTACAATACCAGGGACTCTTCCGAATGGTCATTGTCCTGGGAATAGGTGGAACATTCCAAATTGGCTTTCAAATTTCTACAATCACCTACGTGAATCAGGTAGGTAAAAGCTCACATAGACTGGTAAATGGCATCGCCACATCCCTTTCTTGGCATGCTCCTCTCTGATTGTTAGCAAGGATTTAATCACTATATTCTCCTCTTATGATTAATTCCCATTACTATGCTATTGTGTAAAGTAGAACATGTGAAACTGTTGAAAACAGAAGAAAATAGAGAGATCTGCAACTTGTTGTTAATAGAACTGTTCCTCAAAAAAAGCACTGACAGGTGTGCTGCAAGTTTACAGGGAGACGGATGTCCCATGTGGCTACTCCAGTGATACCATATGACACTCTCAGAGCTTACCCATCTTCACATAGGGAAGTCAAACAGAACAAGTGAACTGTGCTCTAACTGCTTCTCTCCACTGACCACAGGTAAAACTTCCATTTGAGACACTGGAACTTAAAGGAAGACATTATCATTTAGTAGAAATCACCTTATGGCAGAAGTGTTACTTTCAGGCTTGAGAGCACAGAGTTCTAAGTCAGAAAGGATTTAGAAACTGCAGTGATCAGGTGCAGTTCCTCGTTACAGGTCTGTGTCTTAGCACCTCAAATTTCAAGGACAGCCAAGCAAAGAATGACCTCCTAGTAACAAGGAATCAACGTAGCATGCTCTATTACTTCATGCCTCTTGGCTAATGCAAACTTTTAGAGTCTATGTGAAATAGAGACTTTATCTAAAGCAACAAAGTTATGTTATAAATGTAACAAAATACATGCTGTGGAGTCAAAGTTATTGTTAATGATCCTTTTTTCTCTGTCTCAGCATGTTAAGGCTTTCATTAATGAAACCTGGCTGGAGCGATACGGCTACCCCATCCATCAGGATAACCTCTTGTTCCTGTGGTCTCTCATCGTGTCCATCCTTGGTATAGGAGGTCTCTTGGGTGCTTCAGGAAGTAGATACCTGACTGTCAAGTATGGCAAGTATGTATTTTTAATGAGAATTTGTCAACTGAATCTTAATTTAAGGAAATTACTGTTGAGGTTTTTAAAGTTTTTAAATGTGAGACTGATTTAAAGGTACAGTAACAGCAGTACACAGCCAGCTTGGCAGTGATGCCAAGTTGCTGCTTCTTGCCTGTATCCTGTGGCACTAGCTAACCAATGATGTTTCCAGCCTGCCACACGAGATGCAGTTACTGAGGCTGGATTCAACTGGAAAAGTAGCTCCCAGCTGAAGGCAGAGGGGTTTTCTGGAGATGCTACTCACAGCACAGCAGCGTTGAGATGCTCCTAGGTGCTACATCAATGCCACATTGCTCCCCTTCTCTATTTCACTCTCCCTGGTTTACTGGGAAATGAACTTCAACGTGTGACCCAGAAGGGACACGGTACAGGCTGCAGGTCCTGTCCCAGAAGTCACAGTGCTCACACATGCCTTCCAGGGAATTTGGAAGTAACCTTTTTTCCAGTGCCTTTTTCTGCCAACCTTGGCTATAGCGAATTCTCCCTGTTCAGATCCTGAGCTAGCTGGATGCCAATATAACTCTGTGTAAGAGGGGCACAGAGTGTCCAGAGCCAATAGTGTAGAAGGACCTATATTGTGTGGGACCACACATGCATAACTTGACAAACTTAGCAAGATGACTTCATCCTGTGCTCCCGTGTTGCAGGAACTCAAATGCCATTTCTCTCCTGATCTACAAAAATGTCTTATTTGCTTGCATTTACAGAAAAAAATGCCTCCTGTGCAACAATCTATTAATGATAACTGCAGCATCTATCATGGGCTGCAGCAAAATGTCCAAGTCCTT